CAGGAATTTTGTTCAACCAAAAGTTGCCAAGTGATCTCTGGATTTGGCTGAGAGTTTGTAAAGCGCTTTGGGTTCCTTTGGGATGAAAATGATACCAAACCCCCAGGCATGGGATTAACCCAACTCCATCACTAGTTCTTTGCAAAGATCCCAGTTCCTCTTAGTCATTAGAAAAGATGAATATCACTTTCCAAGCTGTTCTTATGTCAAAAAGATGACATCAAGTGTGATTGTTAAAGGTTTCCCAGACCCAGCAGGTATGATAGCCTGAATCTCTGTGCTGCTACCACGGTTGTGTTACGATGCAGTAGGACGCGTTCTAATGTGACGCTATTTTTTCCATCGTTTGTACTGCAGGAGGTCTTTGATCGCCTCTATTTGATTTATACTGTTGGATACTCCATCTCTCTGGGATCCCTCACAGTTGCTGTCCTTATCCTGGGATACTTCAGGTAGGCGGCTCTGTTTCTACCTAAGCAAGTTGTCACTAGACTGGAAAAGCCTCGGGCTTTCCTAAAGGATAAAATTGGGGTGGCATGTGTTTCTTCAGAAAGGCACAAGAGGTTGCATCTGTGCTTTGGGTTGTGTTAGTGTCACTTAGGTCAAATTTCTTGGGGGATGGTGGGTGGGATGTTTTAATTTCTTCCTCTTGCCTGCCATGGAGTTTTCTAGACCCTCTTTGTAGCAAATGGGAAGAGAGGCATCTCCAGGAAGAGATTTGTCTCCTCTGGAAGAGTATCTAAGGTTTTCTGTCCCTATCACCCCTGCAGATGACTGGCTTAGATTTAGATGGTTACTTATTAGGTAGAAAAGGTTTCATAAGGGGAATTCCACTCTAAACCCAAATATTCATGAAGGACAGACCAGTTGAAGGGGACCTCATCCACCTAACAGTGCTGGACTGACCCCTCCACTCTCCCCATGCTGCTGCTGTACCCAGGGAGCCAAAAATCACCACTCACCCTCCTAAATCTGATTTTCTGCCTTCTCTTTCCACCATCCCTCCCAAGTGATGTAGACCCCAAAGCAGCATTTTGAACCCACAAAACAGCATTTTGAACCCACCCCATCCAGCCCTCAGACCTGGTTGTTGCATGTCCTTGTGGCTGTAGAGACCAGGGGAGGGAAGGGATGAAAGGTCTCTTTCACAGCTAGAAGTTTGTCCTTTGAGAAACCATTCCTGGTGAGATACAGGTGGAGCTGGGTGCTGAGTCCTGATCACCTAAGCCCCAGGTTTACCTCCTTTTGGTAGCTGGCAGTGACTTCTCCTAGCAGACAGCAGGACCCAAACAACAGCTGTGGAGGGAAATTCTCAATGCAGCAAGCAGCTACGTGGTGTCTGCAGATGAACTCAGCAGGTCCCACCACGCAAGCTTGAGCTAAGCCCTGAACACATACCACTGGGAATAGAATGTGTGGCCTTTTGCTCTAAGAAGGTCATAGGGATTTGCTTGGATGGAAGAGCATCCCAGCACCCAAATCTGTAACACACACAAGCCAAAGGGGACTACAAACCCGTACTGGAGGCACTGCACGTGATGTAGTCCTGGAATCCACCCCTGCCACCACCCTCCTCTCCTCTCAACCCTTACCCTCCTGTTTAATTTCCCACTAGACAATGGCAAGGTTATTAAAAGATTTAATGTCCATGCATGCAAGAGTATTCCTAGTTTCAGGAGACACGCTCTCTCTTTCTTCATGAAGTCAGAGTGCTTCACTTACAGCCCAGACCACATGGACAACAGTGCTAGAGCATCTTTGTCTCAAGGATCAAAGCAGCAGCAGGGACCAAGTTAAATTTTATTCCAGATAACACATAATCCAGAGATTCACTGACTATATTTCAAAGGCAGGGAACAAAGCCCATCTTCATTTTTACCTCAACAGTTCCACTTGGTGTAATTTGTATGATAATAGCACAGGAAACAACTGTTATTACTGTGAAAATCTCCCCCAAAAGGAGAAAAAACCCTCACAGCTATGATTTTTTTTTTTTATTTCAATTATTGAATCTGAGGATTTAAGAGAATATTAACCCATTAATAGATTCATGCATGGCTAATCAGGCAACACAGCTATAGGGGAACCCAACAGGTCTATTAGTACCTTCTCTCCAAAGGAGGATCACCATTTTTAAAACACACCTCACATATATGGGTCTAACCCGTTTGCATCCAGCTTTTCCCCCCAAAAGGATCTTAAAGCGCTTTACAACCAGCATTTGTTGGGGTCATTGCTGCCATTGCTGGGGTGGAGCCCAGAAACTGCTCAGTATGACCAAGCAAAGGGTCACCAAGTGTCTCTGATGGTGAACAGAGAAAATAGCCCAGCACGCTATAGTTACCACTATAGTTGCTACGAGATTTGGAGTAGGCACAAAGATTAGCAGTTTGTAAGAACTTCTTCAAGGTTTTTAGTGGCCACAAGTTCTTTAGCCTTTGTGGTCCATTTCCTCTGCACAAAGTGTAGATAAATATGAAGCCTTTAAACATGGGGTTTGACTCTGAGAAGGGTAGACTTGTTGGAGGGATGGATTTAACAGTGAAAAGGACACACACAGGATACACCCTTTAGTACCAGTGAGCACTGTGAATGTATCCTGCTTTCTATCTCTACATCTTGGAAAATGACTGCATGTTTGACACACACTCATTGCATGTGATCATCAGGGACATGTTCATCATGTACACATTGCACAGCTGTTGATGGCTCACTGCATGTTCACTGCACACCACACGGACATTCCCTGAAGGTACACTGCTCACTGCCCACACCCTGAGCATTGGTTGCACACTCACCGCATCCATCTCAATGTTCACACTTCATGCTGAGTGCACCTCCCATCACCTCCAGATGCATGTGTGCTGCACACACACGTCCAAACTGGTTGTATATGTTCTGCAAACACACTGCATGCACAACTCACTCCAGATTGGCACACGCTGAGCATGGACTGCTCATCAGGTACCCTCCTCCTGTTGCATGTGCACTGCACATACCATCCTCCAGATGTAGACTCACTTCCCACTGCATGCATGCTCACTACTCATGCCCAATAGAGACAAAACTACTGAGCCTTGATAGAACAATGGGCGATGATTATAAACTGGAAAAGAGTAGATTTAAGTATTAGGAAGAAAATCTTCACAGTGAAGGTGGTGAGCCAGTGTCCCAGGTTGGCCAGAGAAGCTGTGGCTGCTCCTCCCTGGAAATGTTCAAGGCCAGGTTGGATGAGGCTTTGAGCAACCTGGTCTAGTGGAAGGTGTCCCTGCTGATGGCAGGGGAGGTTGGAACCGGATGAACTTTAAGAAGCCTTCCAACCCAACCATCCTGTGATTCTATGATTCTATTTCTTTCCAAGATTTCCCAGTCAAAAATAAAATGAGTATAGGCACAACATCATCCTAATGCAAAGTCAATAGCAGTGTGATGTGACCAACCCCCTGGAGTAAGTGTTAACTCATTTATCAACCCCATGGGTGAACTGTGAGCACAGGGCAGCAGTGGCACTATCACTGCTTCCCCGTGTTGGCACAGAGGAGCTGGGGCTCTTCAGAAGCAGAGATGACCCTGAGTCTGTCCAACAGATGGGCTAAACTACTCCAACCTTTCTCTGTCTCCTTCTCCAGACGTTTGCACTGCACTAGAAACTACATCCACATGCACCTGTTTGTTTCCTTCATGCTGAGAGCCATGAGCATCTTCGTGAAGGACGCAGTCTTGTACTCCGGGTCAGCTTTGGAGGAGATGGAACGGATCTCAGAGGAAGACTTGAAATCCATTACTGAAGCACCTCCAGCTGATAAATCACAATTTGTGAGTATTGCTGGAGCAGTTGGTTCTCCAGGCTTCGTGTCTCTCTCCTCTCTGTTCAACCCCTCACATCTTTCAGGGGGATTTTTCACCCTACTGAGGGACACCAGCTCCATGCTTTTCTTCACCCTCCACAGCCTCTCCTCATCCCTTCCCACTCCTCAATCCACTGTCCCTGTGGGACTGCCCAGCCCCAGAGCTAAGGCAGTGTTGTTCCCCATAGCAGTCAAAGGTAAAGTCAAGGTTGAGGTTTTAGTTCCCATCTACAACTACTACTTTCAGCATTCCCCTGATGTTCCCTAAAGTGTATGGCTCTGGAAACTCCTCTGGCTATGCCAGCACAAGGCATATCTGCCCTTGTATTTCATAGCGTGTCCTTTCCCACCACAATGTGAAACTGGTTGATTTTCCACCTGGAGCTCCTCTCTGTGTGATCTGTGAAGTCATCACTTTGTTGGAACATCTGTCCCATCAAACTAACAGCCCAGACGTAGCAAAGCCGTGATTTAATGTCTTGGGAGTTTCTCAGCCCTGACCCCAGATCTAGAGCAGAAGTAGCTTGTGAGGAAGAAGGTCAGCAGTAGACATCTCACCTTACTGTAATTTTGCAGCAAACCATCTTGGGTTGCTCCTGTTGTGGTTTATTTCCATCTCTGAAAAAAAAAGACATTTTAGAAGGTGCAATGGAGGCATTATGTGCTATCATGAGAAAAGGTGCAAAAAGCAGATGTCTACAAGGGAAACACCTTCCTTCAATCCACTTCTCAGGATTTATCTATGGTCAGCTAAGTCAGTATGGTCCATAAAACCAGTTGAGTCAATGGCACAATGAACCACATTCTAAAATTCAAATTGAAGTGAGGTCAGGTGATTTTGACTCTAGAAGTACATGTTTCTTTCTGCTGTATTGAAAGCTCAGATGGAGACACCTGCATTGTCCATGTAATTGGAGGGGATGAAGCCCATCCTCATTTTCAAAGTTGTCCCCACTCAGTGAAGTTGTCTGCTCTCCTTGTCATTGATCTCATCACAGGTTTCCCATAACGGATCCTAGGTATGATAGCTCATCATCTGTGCTGCAGAAACAGTCAAGGTAGATTTTAGTACCTAAGATCAAGGGTTACCATCAATGCACTTGAAAAACCTGAATGGAGTCACTCTAGCAACGTGGCAACAAACTTTCTGCTTGTGTATTCATTCAGCTTCTCAAGTCTTTCACAGTTTGTACTACTCCCATGGACCTGGCCACCAACACCCCTGCATAAAATCAGCATATATGAAGTGTCCTGCTGTGCACCCAAATGCCCCCAAATGTAAATTTTTATCGTGTTTCCTTCCCATTTCAGAGATCCATTTCATTAATTTGGTGATTCTATGGCTGAAGAACTCAGCACACTTCAAAACATTTCCTTTTTGGAAAGAACACCAAATGTTTTATTGCATTGTTTTCTGTTTCTCCTTGGGCTGGACTCATTATAAGGCATAATTGGGACAATATATCGTATTCTCTGAATATTAGCAATTTAATTACATTTCCCATACTGCCAAATTGAAAGGCAAACAAGTTATAAAGGCAACAATTAATGTATTTTTTGTGTCTCCAAGTGAAGTGGGAGCTTTGCAGTTATTGCCTGATGCCACCTGTGTATGGGTAGATGGTGATTTTTTGTAAATATCAAAATTATTGTTAAACCTAGATGGAGGTTTTTTAATTGATCTTTCTTTTTTAACTCACTCTGTCTGTAAAAGAAAATGGGTGTAAGTGTGTCCATATTTTTTATATGTATATATATATATATAAAAATATGTGCACGTTCATTCTGGTTGGCAAAGAATCAGCATAAGACTTGGACCAGAATAAAAAATTCTCTTTTTATTTACAACGTACTTATCATTCACATTTTCTATGAGTCACTCATAGTCACAGAATCACAGAGTCACAGAATGTTGGGGATTGGAAGGGACCTCGAAAGATCATCCAGTCCAATCCCCCTGCCAGAGCAGGAACCTAAATGACATCACACAGGAAGGTGTCCAGGCGGGTTTTGAATGTCTCCAGAGAAGGAGACTCCACACCCTCCCTGGGCAGCCTGTCCCAGGGCTCTGTCACCCTCACCGTAAAGAAGTTTCTTCTCAAGTTTAAGCAGAACCTCCTGTGTTCCAGCTCACACCCACTTCCCCTTGTCCTACCATTGGGCATCACTGAGAAGAGCCTGGCTCCATCCTCCTGACATTCACACTTAACATATTTATAAACATTAATGAGGTCACCCCTCAGTCTCCTCTTCTCCAAGCTAAAGAGCCCCAGCTCCCTCAGCCTTTCCTCAGCAGGGAGATGCTCCACTCTCTTCATCATCTTGGTGGCTCTGTGCTGGACTCTCTCCAGCAGTTCCCTGTCCTTCTTGAACTGTGGGGCCCAGAGCTGGACACAATATTCCAGATGTGGCCTCACCAAAGTAAGGGGCAGCATGGAGATGGGCTGCTGCTGTAGGATGTGTTTGGTAGTCAGAAAGTTCCCATGAAATTGGATTACCCAGAGTTCTAGTATTTCCACATTGACAAAAGGTGGTATCATGTGCCCCTTTGTACCAATTCACCCCATATGGCATCTTTAGTTTGCAGCCTTTCTCTACTAGAGCTGAGAAATCTGGGGACAAGGATAGCTTTGCTCCATTCTGTAGAAGGGCAGGAGAACACTGAGTAACAGTCAGGGTTTTTACCTCTCAAGAAAACAAAGGATTGAAGGTCAGTGTGGAGTGAGAGTTCAGCTAATGCACTCATTTAAAATCAGTGTGTCTTGGAAGTTTCTACCAGGTCTTCCACCTTGCAGCTCAGATCTGTTCAGAAAATACCTTGCCATTGTGAGTGAAATCCTCCATCTTCGGTTTGCTATTGGAGGACCAGTCATCAAAGCCTACAGCAGCCATCTAGGGTGTCTTCACACTCGTTGAGGAAAGACAGGGAGCCCTGGAGAACCCTGTCTTGGACATCTGTGATGGGAGAGGGTGACTCACCCTCAGCACAGTGCCCATATCTCTCCACAAGCTGAAGAAGGAGTCGTACTCTCAAGAGATGTGATGTGCACTAGGTCACCCAGACCAAGGTGACTCAGTTACAGCCATTTGTCCTCTAACGTGGACAAGAATCACAGGAAAAAGATGAAACATAGCTGTCCTAGAAAGCACGTGAACCCCTCATCACTGGGGTTGGGGGAATGTAGGATCAGGTCAGCATGTCTCCACATGTGCCCCGTCCTCCTACACCTCCCAATTCACCTGCTATTGGAGACATGTTTTCAGGCTAAGGGGAAGCTTTCTTCTCAGCTGTTCCTCTCTTCTGTTCTTGCACTGATTTTCCCCCTTCTAGAAGCCTTGCAACAGAATTTTCTGATTTCTTTTCTTTCTCCATCTTGTTTTCCAGCTCATCTTGGCAAATTATGGCTTTATGGAGAACAAGAATTTCACATGATGTTCCTCACATAACCCTGTCTTTCTGTGGTCATTGCAGGTGGGCTGTAAAGTAGCGGTTACCTTCTTCCTCTACTTCCTGGCAACCAATTACTACTGGATTCTGGTGGAAGGGCTCTATCTCCACAGCCTCATCTTCATGGCATTTTTCTCAGAGAAGAAGTATCTTTGGGGATTCACATTATTTGGCTGGGGTAAGTCATGGCTGACCTTTAAGAAGCCTGTTGGATGTAGTCTTTGAAGCAGATAGTACGTAGACATAAAAATAGGAGAGGGGACAGAAGAAGGGTGAGCATCAGAGACACAGTGACTCTTGAAAGCACAGGTTCAGAATTCAGGTTAGCTCTCTTGTGAAGCCTTTACAATTTCTAAATTATGGTATTCACACTGTGGCACTTCCAGGATCTCTGGAAGGATCAGTCCAGGCCTGGAGAGACAACACATCTTGCTATCCTTCCAGGGCAGCATGTGTGGGCATGTGACAGCTGACTTTAGTGCATTCTCTTGAGTGATCACAAGCTCTGTCAAGTCCCTCCTGTTGAGAAACAGGCATTGAGTAGGGGTGTTGGAAAGTTGTGTGAGGCTGTGAACATCTGCTCCCAACAGTAGAGCTAAGCTCTGATTTCCTACCTCAGATCTCAGTTGCTTTAAAAAGTTCTTGAGGTTTCATGAGTGTTGGAGCACCAGAAGAAAGCTGCAATTTGTGGGGAAGTCTTTTTTTTTTTTCCCCCTTTTCTCTTTTAACTTGGGCATCTTTCCCTGGAGTAAGGAGAAAGGGGCAGGATGTGGGTGCAGGGAGGTTGCTCATTAGTAGAAGGCATTGTGGGCACACACATTTCAGACAAGAATGTGCTTTCTGTTCTCTTCTGGCATTACCTTTGGCTTGCAAGGAGTTATGAGGTGCTGGTAGGCTGAGGACAATAAAACAACTGCTCACAGTTGTCTGAAGCGTGTGGACTGTAAGGTAGAGGAGGAAATGTAGTAGATGATCCTCGAGGATATAACTAAGAATAATGGAGTGTAGGTCTACAAAGGAGCTTACAGCAGGAAAAACTTGTTCAGAGGTGTCTATGGTTACCTCTAAACTACATGGCCCAGGACCACTTCCCAGTTTCCAGGTCCAAAATGCACCTGACCACATCCTAACTGCATTTAAGACAAAATTAATATGTGTACCACACCATCCCCATTCCAGCACATGATTTCTTCTGGAAGAAAACTGATGTCTATAACAGTGGAGCTCTGAGCAAACCCAATAGTGCAGGTCCAAGTTTATGGAGGATTGTGGGGTTTCTTTTTTTGCTTTGTGAGAGCAAGCAAGGGATTCACTAGTCAAAGGGAGTCCCATCTGCAGGACTTTCCAGCCTTCCTCCATCACCACTGTGATTATAAGGGAGAAGAGATCCACAAACTCCTTCCTAATTTCATGTTCAGCTGGTGCATAGGTCAGAAACTGCTGGTGCTGCCATATGATAAAGACAGAAGGTGTAAATATGAGTCCCAAAGTGGGTATCCATCTCTCAGGCAAAGTCTACTCCCAGCCAGCTGGTAGGTTTTGAGGAAAATGGATCAATCAATAAATATAAAGAGATATTCTGGGGACAGGGCATTTCTTACCTCAGCTGCTGTGAGACAGAGAGGACTTTAGATGTCACCTATATTTTTTTAACAAATGCACAAAAAAAAAAAATCCTAAAAAACCATCCTCTTCCAAACCTTCAAGCTACATAAAATTTACTTCTCAGAAAAATGACATTAAACTCTACAGAGTAGAAGCAATTCCCCAGAGCAAATTCTGAGACAGAAGGAAACAGTTGAAAAATAATGCCATATGTTAAACAAGAAAAACCAACTCGATGCTGCTCGTTATGCAGCCAAAAGAAAACAATCTAACAGGCATGGGTTCCTCTCATTAATTCTTCCAACCACTGCCAGAGTATAATCATTTTATCAGAGCCACCACAAAGCTGAAATCACACCTGTCACAACACCAATCGTCTAGGAGCTTCCAAAAATTTGAGGTTGCTCAATTTAAATTCTTTTGGCATGAGAACATAGGATCCCTCCAGTTGCATTTGTTTTTGCTTTGTTTTGATTAGCATGATAATGTACACACGTACACCCCCACGTAGACGTATTGCTTTGATAGCTTTTGGGCACTGGAAAGGGCAACTCAATCCAAAATCTACTGGAATCAGTGGAAAAATTCCAGTTCCCTGCAATGGACACTGGATCCTGCCCATACCACAGCAATGACAGGGAATCAGTGATAAATCATTACGACATTCCACATAGGTACAAAAAAGACCAGTTTACCCCAAAAGCTGGGATCTTTTTTTATTTTAATTTTATTTTTCTTGCTTATGTAACGATAAACAGCACTGGATTTATCCCACCTGGAAATTTCCAAGATGGGTGTAGGGAGTAAAAAAATCACCCTACAACATCTTTTTTTCCAGGTTACTGAGGAAACCAGAATGTATAGTTAATCTTTTATGTGAAAACCAAAGATTTCTGTCGAGTCTTTTCAATCCACAACCTCACTGGCACAAGGGAGCACAGCTCCGTGAAAGTCCACAGCTCCTTTCTTGAGAGGGGAGACACTGATGACAGAAAGGAACTTGTTCCTTACCAGCACCCAACAAAAATAAATAAATAATGATATTATGGGCAACAATAAATTCCCCAGCAGTCTTCAAGTTTCCCGCAGCTGTTTTATGAAGGAAGCTTAAGAAGCATGACCAATAGCTAGAAAACCCAAGCTGATTCCACTGGCATTTTTCCTTCACATCATGTTAATTCTTCCCCCCCTTGGCTAGACTACCCTGGCTTTTAACTATGGTGCAAATGAGGTTTACAGGGAGACCTGGAGAAGACAAATAGATTGCTGTGTTACCTTTAGAGGTTCTGAGGTCCAAAATCTCATGTTGGTGAGCCCTGCATGTTTATGTAAGCAGCAATCATCCTTGCCTGAAAATATTCTTACCTAACAGGACAAGAGGGTATTATTAGCCCTATTTAATATTAGGAAACTATGACACAGCAGGACTGAAAAAACACATGCATTGTTCCTCAGAGAGGTTTTCAAATAGCAGGGAACTGAGACCAGATTTCTCCAGACCTACATAAGGTCTTTATTCATAAGCTTTCTTCTCCTAGCAGTCGCTTTGCAATCACCTCTCTTACTCACAGCTTTGACACATGCATGAAAGCCATTTTTCCAACTGGTAGGAGACACACACACAAGAAAAGCAACGGAGGAGAGTAAGGGGGGTGGGATGGACACCATACTTTGCCCAGATTGAGGTTTTCACTTTTTCCAGCTGATGGGGAATTCACAGAATCACCTGGATTGGAAAAGACCTTTAAGGTTATCAAGTCCAATCATGAACCCAACACTGACAAGTCCACAGATAACCCATGTCCCTCAGCACTATGTCTCACATCCAATCTCAACTGCCCTTGGTGCAACTTGAGGCCATTTCCTCTTGTCCTGACCCTTGGTCCTTGGTTAAACAGACCCACCCCCACCTCTCTCCACCCTCCTCCAAGGGACTTGCACAGAGCCACAAGGTCTCCCCTCAGCCTCCTTTTCTCCAGGCTCAACAACCCCAGTTCCCTCAGCCACAAGGGAACTCAGCACACTTGTGCTCCAGACCCTTCCCCAGCTCCGTTGCCCTTCTCTGGACACGCTCCAGCACCTCCATGTCCTTCTTGGACTCAGGGGCTCAACACTGAACCCAGCACTCCAGCTGTGGCCTCACCAGTGCCCAGTCCAGGGGGACCAGCACTGCCCTGCTCCTGCTGCCCACACTGGTGCTGATCCAGGCCAGGATGCCATTGGCCTTCTTGGCCACCTGGGCAAGATACTTGACTTTATAGCACCTGCATTGTACACACTGTGTGTATGGACTGGAAATGCACAGCGCATACAATGTGGATTCTGTAGAAGTCACTCAACGGCATCACCGCCCGGTGGGATTCATCCTGTGTCACACTGGTCGTGTACATAGGGTACATACATGGAAGGGGGAGGACATGCATGCATCCATCCATACCTGCATCTGTCTGTGCTCACAACCACCTGGGAGATCACAGGCTTTTTGAAATCTCACTTTCCTTTCCCTGGTGGGTTGGCCAGATGCATCTAATTACGTGTGACTTTCCTGCTCATGAAGCTGCACCCTCCTGGGTGTCTTGCTATTTGTGGAGATCTTTGGATGTCTGACTTTGAGGACCTCAGTCTTGATTTTCTGACTAATGGCTTTCTCATCAATGGGTACTGTGAGTGCTCAGCAGGAGGGATTGTCAGTTTTGGGGCATCACAGACCAAGACTTTCATGTGGAGACACCAAAAAGTCAGTCATCACCCTCTGAAAGTAAAAGAGGTGCTGGAGGCAAAGCTAAGACTTCTGATTCTTCAAGTTGAAATACTGGTTTACCAGAGTGAGAGAAAGATTGAACTCTAGAAGTTACATGACAGTCCAACCTCTGCATGTTATATTGATGTAAATCTAAAAAGGGGGCAGAGGAAAAGGAGGGAGAAGACTCATAGCACTTCTTGCAGATTTAAGAACATTTATGATGGTTCACACTAAATAAATAAATAAATAAATAAATAAATAAATAAACAAATTGAAAAGAACGATGTAAGAGTCAGAGAAAGACAAATGTAGCCATAAAGCTGGTGCCAGGAATTCACTTTGTGTGTTTTGCTAAAAATGTTGAGGATCCTTTTCCTAAGCTTGCCTGAACAGAGTGAGGCAACAGTGCACAGGGCACAATTTATTGTGTATTATGCACAATTTATCATATTATACACAATTTATGTGTATTATCCACACATAGGGATTTTTCAAGTAGAAATATTTTCTCCTGTATATTTTATTGTCACGAGGAACCTTGAACACAGCACAAGATTAGTATGAATGGGAACAGTGTCTTTTCTGAAGTACAGGACAGGCTAGGGAGGAACAAGTACATATCAAACACACCCAAATCTGTAAAACAATCCATCTTTTAAGCCTAGAGCTTCACAATAGCCAGTGAACATCCACCATCTCACAAGCAGGCAGCATGTATGTCAGCCTCTCAACATGGCCAACTTCTCAGTTGATATAAACTGGAATATCACCAATGATATCAGCAAAGCTATATGTATTTAAACCCTTGATAGCTCAGCCAGTCGTCCAGAACACGCACATATTTTTCATAGATAAATGATTAACAGTGAGGAGGAAATAGATGGTGCTTGTTACAATAAATCATCACCTTCCCCAAGTCCTCAGCTTCAGCTTCAACATGCTCAGGGATTCCCAGTGCAATAGGTTAAGTATTTTCTTTCCAATGCCAACCATCGCCTGAGATTGTAAAGCTGGATGAATTCCTTATAAATGTATCTTTGTAGGCAGTGCTGCTGCTCCACTAGTCCTGAGTGAGCCTCTGTGTTTAATTATTTATGCTTTCTTATATTACCATGGCATTTAAAGGTTCCAACCAAGATAACGACCCCTTTGTCCATATGTGTATGAGACAGGCGTCCCTGCTCCACACCCCAGCTCAGGAAAGCGTCCGTGGTCAGGAAAGCCTTTAAGCACTCTAATGAGACTTAAGTGCATGCTGAAAGTTAAGCGTGTGCTTATGCATGCCGAGCCCCAATGAGCTTAAACTGTGAACAGCGTATTTACAGTCATCGGTGATAAATGTCGCCTTTATTTATTTTTTAATTTTTTCTTTCACCTGAAAGGGGTTATTCTTCTTGAATTTGTGGAAGCTACTGTGGATTTGATCCTGCCTTTTAAGGGAAGCCAGTAGGGGACTCAGTTGTGCGAATAAAGCCTCTGCTGGACCTTAAAAAAAAAATAAATAGAAGGTTGCATTTGGATATTGGTGATTCTTTTACTTTTCACAGGGAAAAGATGATGTCCAGTGTAACTGTGCTGAAATAAAAATGGTTCATTTGGGCATGAAGCTTTGGCTAGAGTATTTTGCAAGCGTTACTCTAAATTCTAGCATTTTTCTGCTTCACGCAGCAAGTCTCTCACAGTTCACAGAGCTTCTAATCCATCCACCCTTGTGCTGGAAGAAACAGTCTGAGCTTGACTCTAGATCCACATTTCCTTGATGTCTGGGGAAGGGTACAAATATCTTGGGAAAGGTTTGTTGCACAAAACCCTTCTCTGTCTCAAAGTGAATGAGATGGCTAGAGCAGCTACCAGTCAGCCAGGTTCAAGCACTACAGATGATGTACCTATAAAGTAGTGCTAGAAGAAAGACTTGATGATTTATGCTGTCAAGTCCATGACCCATCTCAGTCAAAGACCAGCTGGGCATCTTCCAAACACAGGAGGTAGCTTAAGCCTGAACCAATCCGGTCCAGCAACTTGGGAAAGCAAGCTGCTTCATTTTCAAAGCCAGTAGAGTTCAGTAGAGTGAACATGTCTAAGCTATGACATTTGTCTTCCAGAAAATTCTCCTTGCTACTCCTTGGTTTACCATTTAGACTACAGAAGAGATCTGAGACCATGATCAGGCTTTTCTAGTCTAAATTATGCTTGAATATTCAAAAACTCCTTCTTCCACCCTCCTCTAGACCACTCCACTTGCATTTATGATAACTGAGCCCTCTAGTCCCCCTACTCACCCCGTCTGACCTGTGTTTTTTTGCAGGACTCCCTGCTGTATTTGTTACAGCGTGGGCCAGCGTGAGAGCCACTCTAGCCGACACAGAGTAAGTCTCACCAGATTTTCTTTCCTCCCTTTTACGTGTGATGCTTTTGTGGGACTTTTTGCTTTGGGGGTGAATCAACAGGAAAAAGGGAACCATGAAAATCCAGAAGTGATTTCTACTATGAAGTCAGCAAACATCTTTTTGCGGGGGCGTGACAGGGAAAGATAAGGTGGCTGCAACTTTCCTAGTTTTCCATTAATTTTACAGAATTTGATAAATGTGAACCCCTACAGTTGTTATTTGTGGGGCTAAAGGGGACTGTTTCATAGCTAGGCAGGAACAGGATAATAGCCTTTAAAATCTTGAATTAATGGAAATGAAGTTGGGAGACAGGAGGTTCAGCACAGTCAAAGGAGGCAATTTGATGCTGATGAGATGGTGAAGCTGTAACACCTTGTTGAAGGAGATGTGGATGCCAGTATGTCCTTAGGTTTAAAAAGCATTTGTACAAATTCATGGAAGAAATTCCTCCAGAATTATTAAATACTCAGTAATGTTCTAGCTCAGGAAGCCATCCTGAACTGCAGCTTGATGGAAGAATATTCTAGAAAAATATCTCTACTTGCTTGCCTGTTGCATGTTAAATATCAACTTCTGGCTACTGTCAGAAACAAGATATGGATCAGCTGCTTCTTTGGTCCTACACATGCACTCTTATGGTCTCATATTCTTATAGTAACCTGATCAAAGGATCCATAGCATTCAACCTTCAAACCTCAACACAATCACTTTTTCCCCCCCAAAAAATGCACAGGTTTGACCACACATTAGGTTTCACCTGCCAACAAAAGTCTGGAGGTCCCCAGGCAACTTTCCAAATGGCTTTTCCTGAGAGGATACTGCTTTCCAAATGCGATTTCAGCTCTAGGCTTAGAAGGACCAGGTAGCACACCTACCACCTACTGAGGTATGATGCATTTGTGTTGGCACAGGCTCATCCTCATAGGAGCTTTCAGTCAGAACCAGTGGTTTCTCTGCCCCTACCTCTAGCTTTCCTTGAATAGCTGCCTGGGCAGAAATTTGGCCTGTGAAATGAATAGTGCAACTGCCATGTGGTGGCTGTCTGGCTCAGATAAAGAAAAGCCTGTGGCACTTCTCTCTCTGTGGTTAGAGAGAATTCAAACAGAGTAATTAACACTGAGTGACCTTATTCAATGACTGCTGGAAACACCTGGGAGGAAACAGTGTTCAGCACATTCTTGACAGGCAGAGGACTGTAGCTGAGCATCCACACCACCAACAGTTTGCTTTTCCAGTCTTCACTTGGATAAGGGTTGAAGGTGAAAAGGAGATAAAGACTTTGTAGGGAATGGCTGGTCTCACTGTGAGAGTAGGGCTGAAGGAAGCACAGGAACTGAATGTAGAACCACAGTATTTTTCCCATCACCACGTCTTCAGACAGGACTTCTCTCTATGCAAAGTTGTATGAGTTTATTCCAAGGGTCCATTTCAGCCTCTCTTGTTTTCATGGAAGCTGGATTACTTTTAGTGTAGATTTTTCTGGGAAGGAAATGAAGAAGCAGTAGAAAAGGGTGGATTCCTACCCAGAAGGGACAAGTCTTGATGACTGTGGAAAGAGCTGTTCCACCATCTGGAGAGCATAACTTTAAATGTGTTTAATAGCAGTTTCAATTTTGAGTAGTATAACAGCAGGAAAAGGGCTATTTTGAAGTCATGTTGACTGAAAACAGAGTTAGAGTGAGGTCCTCCCACTGCACCAGGCTTTGGAGGAACCCATCCTTCCAGGTTGGATTTATCCAACAAGATAACTTGAGCCTGTTGCTCTTTGTAACCAATGATTTCTTGATAAGATGTCAATCTCTTCTCAGGTGTTGGGACTTGAGTGCTGGCAATTTAAAATGGATTATTCAGGTGCCCATCCTGGCAGCTATCGTGGTGAGTACTGACTGATTGCAAGGGGTGGGAAGCAGTGCCTTTGGTCAGTGTAGGCTTAGTGCAAAGAGTTGAGCCAGGCTGCCCTACTCCTGATAGTGTAGAGTCTCTATATCCAGTCTAAGGGCATTATATTTGACCTGTCTGCAAGTTTGATAGCTGTCTACAGCGGAGTTTTATGAGCAACTTGAAGTTTTGCCTATGAGAGAAAAATTACACAGAGGTAAAACCCTAAAATCATTAATGAAAAACATTCAAGCCAATATTTCCATCCCATGAGGTACTGGAAAACTTCAGGGGTCACAACAACTTCTCACTAGTCATCTCCAGTGGGTTCTTTAGCTGGACCAAACTTTTCCCTCTGCATGATTCAGTGCCATCAGATTGTTTCAGACTTGCCTTTCTGAACTGATAAAAGCTTGAGATAACTTAGAAGTGGGGATGAAATTTAAACCACCCCAGCTGTGATCAGGCATGATGTTAGTCATTGACAGAAGATAACTTCAGCCCCCGCCCAGGAGCTAGAGGGGACAGAAAGGATATAAGTGACATTATCCAGATGCAGGAATGAGATCTCATAAGCTGGAGAGGTCACTATAAGATATGGTTATCTGCCCAAAGGGAATTCAATGGATGGTTATGTGTTTGCTTGAGTAGGGTCCTAACTACCTAGAGAACCTGCTTTCATGGTTTTCATGAATCACCCTCTTTCTTCCCTCTTTCTTTCTCTATCATTGTCCTTTACTCTATCTTCTGAAGGTTAGATAAGTGCATGCAAAAGAGCTTTTCCACCCCCACACATTCTGGTCCCCCTTTACACTAATCCATGAGTAGCAGGGTGGAGTCAGTAAGTATATAGTCTTCAGAGAGTTTTGCATCAAGCTCTATATACTTCCTTCTGACTCACAAATCAGGAGGCCTTGGAAGATGATCAGTGTGGGTGAGAAGAAAATCAGACCATCTGCATATAAACAGCAGGAAAGTTTCTGAGGTGACTATGCTTATATGTGCAATTAGGTGAGCTACTTTCGACTTGGAGGGGGGCTTTTTTTTCTTCCTCAGAATTTCCTTTTGGTGGAAATTCTCCACCTGGCTCTAGCAATTAGTTCTGCACCTTGGGAGAAACGAATCACCAATCCCACATCGTGGTCATTGGAAATGAAATAGTAGGATGGAGAAGAAAGTTCAGATGGTTCAACTAAATGAATGCCAGCAACCCCATTGCATTTAATTTAAAGCCCAATTAGCAGAGGAGAAAGAGCTCAATTGAGGCTCGTCCTTGTAAAAATAATGTTTCTCCATGAGGCTCTGCTTTGCTTGTACACTGGCTATTTGCAAATGCATCTATTTATTATGCAAAAATATTCTGTGGGTTGTTTCTGTTTAATTTCTGTGGGTTCATATTGTTCATTTGGCTGCTTTTTCAGTTCCCACACTGGCTGGTCATATGTTGCTGGACTAAGTTATGCATTTTCTGAAAGTACTTGCAGAGAATTTGAAGGCTGAGGGGCTTAAAATCCCTCCACTCTGCTGCTAACTTTGATGTTATTGAGTCGTCTGGATTTCTTTTAAAACTTAGCACATGTTTTAGGAAGTCAAAGAAGTTTTTCTCTTGATTGTGATAAGGTTGGACATCTTCAATTTAGCCGACAATTGAAGAACAAAATCCCACTTTTGAGCCTTTGAAGCTAGAAAAACTCATATGAGAAACAAAGCCTTCCTTTTTTTTTTTCCCCCTTTTTTTTTTCCCCTTTTCAGATTGGTTTCCAATGAAAATGAATTATCTGCCCCCAGGCTGTGTGCTTCTCTGCCTGTCGGTCTATCCATCCCTCCCTTATAACTTTTGTGCCAGTCAGTAAATTCCAACCAAATGTAACTAAGAGAATGGGGTTGCATGGATGTATAATTCCCACAAACCTCATGAAAACAGTCATACAGATAGAGGACAGAAATTCTACTAGTGCCCCTTCAAGGAAAATGGTGTAGAACAACCTCACCTCCTTTTTAACACAGAGGAGAGCTGTTCAAAATGAACTTGCACCTCGTTAAAGGAGAAGGAATCCAACCACAGATGACAAAGCCATAGCAAACCAGGCCATGTTCGTTCAGCAGCTCAGGGAACTACTTGTTTTAAGAGTGAGGATAATTAACCATTGGAATGACTTACCAATGGTTGTGGTAGGATCTCCGTCATGGAAACACTGAAACCCTGTTATAGCTCAAACAAAAAGGAATATAAGGAGGTCTTACGAACTGTGTTTTGCAGGAGATCAAACTAGAGGTTCACAATGGTTCCATCTGGCGTAAAACTATGAGCCTGTGTGTGGCATCGTAATTTGTTTCCTTGAAATGCTGCTATATTGGCATCTGAGAAGTCAAATGACTGCTGCAAGCCTCCAGAGAAACCCATAGGCACCAGCGTTAAGCCAGCAACGTGGATCTGCCCAGTGAAGACAGTTACACAATGGTTCTGCTTGTGGCCATACCATAGTCCCAAGAATGGGTTTGCCTGGGACAGCAGCAGGTGTAATCCCAGCACTAGTAAAACCCATCTCTGAGAAGCTCCAAAACCTGAGAATCCCTCAAACATCTCCCCAGGTTTCTTCTCTATTAAGTGACAGCATAGCCATGAGATGTTGCTGTTAGCTTTTCCTGCATGTTCTTGTAGGACTAGATTAGTTTGGTTGAGTAGCTGGCCACAAGATGGGTTCATAGATGTGGCTGCCTGCATAGGAAGTAAATATTACTTCCTTAATGTCCTTATCTGGTCCATACTACACACTCCTCCAGAGGGAGAGTTAGCAGTAGACATACAAGAGAAGTTTCACAGTTATATTGCCCTTCTGCATTCCTGATCTGTCATCTCTGGTTTGGTTGACTCTGTGTCTTCGTCATGGTGCAGTTAGCTTGCTCTTCTTTCCGTTTGCACATGGGCATATGGAAAGTCATCCTACTAACGCTTCTTTTAACCTGAGGAGACCTTAATCTCAGGTGGGCTAGAAGAGACATATGTAACCTAATTTCAGTCTGCTCCCTGGACCCCAAACTAAGTTTGAGAGGTTTATGAGACCATGAAAATTACCTATATCACTGTATGGAGGGTTTTTTTAAAAAGATAATGTGAAAAATATTGAATTGTCTGTAGTCCATACCTCAAAATGCCTCGTAAGCACTGCCTTGTATATTGACATTATATCTAGTTATCAGATGTCTACTGGGCTGGCTAGCTCAGATGTAGGTGTTTCCATATGAAATGCCCACACTTTGCCATAGAAAGCCTTTCGCTTCCCTCTCTCAACCATTTAGCTGACTAGATCCCACCCAAACATTGAGTCTTTGGTGTGGAGCTCACCCTTTCCACAGGACAAACTCTCCCAGGAGGAGCTTCATAAGCTCAGGTCACTGTGTGCCACAGCCCCTTGACTCATCTTGGGGAAAGCATTGAGTAAAATAACACTGTCATCATCTGGACCTTTTTAAAGAGTTATTTTCTTTGTTTTTGTTTTTTTCCCACCTCTTCCAGGTAAATTTTATTCTTTTTATCAACATTATCAGAGTCCTAGCAACCAAGCTACGAGAGACGAATGCAGGGAGGTGTGACTCAAGACAACAGTACAGGTGAGTCTCTTACCCTCTCCACTTTTTAGGAGATGTCAAAGTCCTTGTTTCACCTCCTTGACTACAGAGGGAGTCCAGGGTGACTAGTTCATGGTGTCTACACTGTAGACACCTAAAATAAGGTGAGAAGAATGACATCTTCCAAGTCTGATAATGCAGAATGACTCAACAGCAGTTTAAACATCTCCTAAACCTTTCAAATCCAACCTGGGGGACTTGCCTCATAGGTTAAAGAGAGGAATTCAGTCTCTTTAGTCAGTTTGGAAGTGACTGTGCTGGCCTTGAACCAAGAGTGCAAAAATAAAAGCATTGCTTATGCTGTTGAAGCCCCTAAAACTTGTATCAATTTATTTATTTTGATTTATTTCTCTCCTGTGCTTTGTAAAACTTGGTCTATTTGTTCAATCTGCCCTTCAGTGAGTTTTTCAGCACTTTTGCTGAGATGAAAAAAAGATTCCTGAGTCTTTGCTGGAAATCTGGCCTTCCCTTGTTTGTTTTGTTTTCCTTTGTTCTGCCAGCTCTTCCCTCTTGATAATTTAGAATATTTGTAGTATGGTCAAAACTGGACAGAAAAAAACAAACTGCTGAGACACCTCGGCTGGCTGAGAGCTCCTGAGGCTTCTCATAATCTCCTGAGTTGGACTGACCAGCATGACATATGCAGAGGCAGGAGAGCAGAATGATTTGGGCTGCAAACCATGAGCTCATTGCTACCAT